AATCAGGACCAAGTTCACAGCAACTTGACATTAGGCTTTACTCCACCTTTCATCACTCCTACAGTTGTACACACTGGTGGAAGAAACATGTGTTATAAGAAACATGTGACAACATTTCAAGCCCACATGCAAAAGCTCTCACTCGAACTCATCTCATGGACTCAATTTTTCACAAGTTTCATAAAACTTTAGAGTGGAGATGTGTTCCACGACCAGCACACAAAACCAGACTTGGCACAACATAAACCCACAGCATTACATTAACAACCACCTAAAAACTGCAAGAGCTAGTCTGCAATGCCCCAAAGGCAAGCCAGGGTAAGAGCACTTCTAGCCTCCAGCCCAGCTTCAAGAACACGAAACCTTTAACAGAGTTTCAGGCATAGAAGTAGGAAGCATTGAACCCTTTTGTTGGTGTGGATTTGCAATTCAAGACACAGGAATGCTCTACAATATGCATGGGTGATCATCCAGAGTGATAATCATCCTACAGAGCACTTGTTTGCTAAGGTAAGGAGATCCTTCAGCTGATATTAGCTCATTTACAAGGAGTACTGAATCTTCAGAAGTCACCATTGTCAACTGTGTCTGATTTAAGCCTTCAAGATTACTGCAGTATTATTTTGACACTGAACAAGGATAGAAGCACACACCTAGACATACAACTCACTTAACTGTACAACTGTATCTGAAACTCCCTACATAGCCATGGTCTCTCTAACACAAAGGGCTAAAGGAACAAGAACAGAACACCAGTGTTGCCTTTTTACCACTTACTTTTAACTTCAATGACTGTTCAAATTTCAAAGTAATTTTTAGTTTGCATTAAGGCCTGAACTGCATTTTAGAAGAAGCTTCTGCAAAATGCGGGAAATGGCATAAGACACTGAGCAATCCCCAATCTAACTGCGGTTTTCTTATAGTTCCAGTAGATGGATTCTATTTACTGAACACACAGCTCATATACCACTGAGGGACAAGCTGGATAGCTTACAAGGAAACACCTGCAGGACATGATCACTACTAGATATCAATATCCAATACTTTGATGCTTGTCTCCCTAACTGTTTCTCAGCTGCTACCCTAAATCTGGAAAAATGAAAGCTGAAGACTGAATGAAAAGGATCAAACACTGACCAAAGTAGCTAACAATTCATCCTGCCACACAGTAAGATTATGTCTGTAATCTCAGCCAAATTCAACTCTACCCTTTTATTAATTCACTGCCATCCTCCTGCCTTACATCTTCCATGGCTCTTCACATGTGAGGAACATGTGCTGCTTCAACAACACAAATGTGATATCAGATACAAAAGCCTAGGTGCAGCTTTTGGTTGGGTTTTTTTTTGGCGGGGCTCTTCACCACAGCAAGCAGACAAAGGCAATGGTAGGGAGTACCATGGATGCTAAGATTTGCACGAACCTGATAAAAGATGTTCAGTAAGCCATAAGAGACAGTAACTGAAGGTTACTAACAGATACACCATGTCCAAATAGGATGTCTCAACCCCAAAGAGCATAGTTAAAGGCAGGGACTGCATGGAAAGGTGCTTGCTGTTGCACAATCAAAAGAAACAGCATTTGCTTATGGATATTATAGGAGGCTGAACACCAATAGTCTTGCTCATTATAGTCTCTTGTGTAAAAACTTTAACTAGTGACAACCATAAAATGCTTGAATTAACAAAGGCTGACCTAGACACACATGCTTTCTAACAAACTAGCTTGTCATACTACAAGCAGAAGCTCCTTCCCACTCCAAGTAATGTGTTCTATGCACCTGAGTTTTGTCTTTTGCAGTAATTTTTTCCCTGTCTGGAATACTGCGAACAGTGCTAAATACTCTGCCTTCCTATATTTACCTAGTCACCTTAAATAAGCAAGAAGATATATAGACCTTTGTCCTACTACTGGGGTGTTTCAAAACCTATAGTAATTTGTTCAAGTAAAAACGTGACATGGCCCTTTGTTGTGCATTAAGCCCAGCTGGCAGCTAAATAACACATGGACACTCCCCCAGTCCCTAATCCTGGTGGACAGAGGAGTTAATCATAAGTAAAACTTGCACGTTAAGACCAGTTGACTAACTGAAACAAAGTAAAATATAATAGTAATAGTGAATAAAAGAGAAGAGAGAAACCTCAAGAAAAAATAGTGATGCACACAACACGAGCTGCTCACTGCTCATTGGCCAATGCTAAATCCTGCCCCCGAGTTGTAATCAGCCTCCCCTTCCCATAACTCCCTCAGTTTATATCTTGGGCATGACATTCTGTGATGTGGAATATCCTTTTGGCCAGTTATTGTCACCTGATCTGGCTATACTCACAGCTTTTTATATACGTGGCTCACTGCAGAAACTGAGACACTGACTGAACAGTCCTTGACTTGGAGTAAGCACTGCTCAGCAACAGCCAAACCATTAGTGTGTTATCAACATTATTATCCTACTGAATTAAAAACACAGCACTGTACCAGCTACTGAGAAGAAATAAACTCTATCCCAGCCAAAACCAGACCACCCCATAAGCAAGGATCTGACAGCACTAGAGTCCTTCCTACCATTGCACTGACTGTATGCACATACATGCCACACCCTGAATTACAACCAATGTTACCGCTATGAACAACATAAGCTCAACTCTGACGGCATCATGTCCAACTCCATACATTTTTCTATCTTTGTGACCAATTCAGAATAGTTGGCATTTAATACCATGGTACTTCAATGAAAACAACATGCGTAAGAAATTTCCACATTAACAAATAAAACTCTCTATAAGCTTCAGTTGCAAACATACTGACTACAGCTACATCAATGATTTTATGGAACTGTGCAACTTCTAGACAGGTTTTTTTTCAACTACAGTTCTGAACTGTATGCTGCATTTTACATCTGCACTATGTGCAAAACAAGAATAAGACAACACTTCAAAGTATGTGAAAAATTTTCTTCAGAAGAAAAGATGAAATTTGAAAAATTAAACAAGATACACGTTTCTATATGACTGAAGTTGACAGAAGGAAAATTTAGTGTGACCCTTTCCTCTATGTGACTGTCCATTACCATGTACTGTTTCTAGACTGTAAAATGTTTCAAGGTCACATAATAAAGACCTGAAGAATTTACTCTGTGAGCCTATAATGCTGATGACAAAGAAATCCCATCACAACATGACAGAGTTGCCAGCCAAAGGCCAAACAGGAACACAGATTTGGAAAAATATTTTAAGAGGATCACACTTTCAACCAACATGTAAGCTTTACACTAAGGCAGGTGGATCAAGTTTGAAAAACAGGCCCATGTATAAATGATCAGCAAGAATGTCCTCAGACTTCTCTTCAAGTATAGATAGCAGAAAGTTTGGCAACAGGAAGCAATGTAAAAAGAAGCCCTCAGCTGGGGAACACCTGTCTCGTACAGAATGAAACAGTGTATTACCTCAGCTTCACAGCTACACAACTGTGTCTGCTGGAAATTTAATACAGCAGAGAAAAGGCAGTCTAAGACACTCCTCGAGTACATAGAGGATAATTTCTGACTCCAGCTGGTAGATGAGCCTACTAGGGGTGGGGCCCTGCTAGGCCTGGTGTTCACAAACAGAGAAAGACTGGTGGGAGATGTGGTGTTTGGAGGCTGATTGGGGCTCAATGACCATGAAATTACACAGCTTTCCACACTCAGGGATGCAAGAAGGGCCATCAATAGAACTTCTACCCTGGATTTCCAAAGAGCAGGCTTTGGCCTACTCAAAAATCTGGTTCAAAGTGTACCCTAGGAAACAGCGAAATTTAAGACACCTGATTCAGTTGCTTTCTGAAATATACATCTGAATTTCACAGAGTTTCAGTTTAGCTAACAACTTCATAAGCACTCCTGGGTAAAGAGACAAAGGCCTGAAATCATGGCGATTATTCCACAATGTGAAAATTAAACATTTTTCACACATACAACTGAATTTGCACTGAAGACAATGGGAGTTAGAAGAACAGACTCTTTTCTTTTTAAGGCTACTATGTTCCTTTACATTTTACCTATATTCAAGTTTCAGCAACATAGGCTTATTTTACGACAGGAAATAGGTAAGTAATGGACCCTTTGTTTCAAAGCACTGAAGTCATTACCTACAGAGAAGACAGGCTTGTTTTCTGTATCAACCAGCTTTCAACCGAACACACCAAGGTGTGACATCAGCCCAGTCTACTTTCTTCTCCAAGAACATTAAGTATTCTTCTTAGTGAGGAGCAGAGATTGCTTTGAGGTTTGGTCAACCCAGGACAAAAAGCAGTGATTTCAGTGTCCCAGACTATCAATGCTGAAAAGCAGGGTACTTTACAGACTCATCCATTCCACTACCTAATGTCTTAAGAAATCATCCGCTACAGAAAGAAGCTGTGGCTATTCGGGGGTCCCCACCCCGGGCTGGGACGGCCTGGGGGTTTGTCCCCAACAGCACAGAAGTCAGTCAGACTACTCTATAGTAAGGAAGTCAAAGAGCATATACTGATTCAAGCACACATCCTAAAGAAATTATTCAAGTGCTGCAATGCAAAAGCAGCTTTACCTGGGAAACAAGATAATCTGCCCTTTTTCCAAGGTACAAGTATCATTACCTGCATGCCTGAAAAAGGAAGCTTTGCATCAGCTAAGGCTAATGCAGTTATGGCTCCAATGAAGTTAAATGAACACTCCAGGAAACCTTGCATAAGAGTCTGCTTTTGCACATCTCAATCTTCTTTCCAAAAGTTTCTTAAGAAAGCTAAAGGTTTACATGTCCTGTTCGCATTTATAGCACTCACACAAACCTTGACGAAATGCAAATACAGACACTTAATTTTGGGGAATATCATCTAAATAATTATTAAGTTCCTTCTGACTAGCAGTATCAGCATTGGCCTCTTCTGCCTTTATTCCATGACTTAAAAGATTGCAGAACACCATCTGTCAGTTCACTGCTTGGAAAAATGAATAGATGCAGAAAATTTCAAAACCAACATACCTGTTATTTTATCCCTGACAAGCTTGCAGGACTCTATCTCCCCAATGCTGCTAAACAGACTCTTCAGTTCGTCTTGTGTCATGCTCTGTGGAAGGTAGTTGACTATTAAATTGGTCTTGCTGTCTTCTGTGTTTCCAGAGTCAGCTGGAGATGAGCAATTGTTTACGGTGGTTGAACTAGAGGCTGTGTGACTACACGCTGTGCCATTAGACAGTTGTGTTTCCATGGCAGCCATTACCTGCTAGAAAGCACAGAAAACAACAACCATCAAAATTCATATTTCACCATCTAGTGGAGAGTCCAGACAAGAACGCAAAAGACCTGTCACTATGCAGAAATGGTACTGCCAAGGCCATATACTGCCTCTATAGGAAAAAACCCTCATCAATACAGAAGGGTGTTCACTGTTAGTCAAGGCAACACTCAAAATTCACAGGAAAAATTAAGTGTATCTTCTAGAAGGTCACTTAAAGTCAACACTCAAAGCTTAGTTTCCATCCTCTGCCATTCCCTCCATTTAGCGGCATCATCATAGCCTGTTCCAAAAGTCATCAAGCAGAATTGGCCTGTTGCAAGGGTAGTCAGTGCCATTAACTTAGAACTGGTTACTGAAATGACATGAAATGCAGAATTTAAGGTGGCAGTATTTGATTATTTTGAAAAAGAGGTTGGGCATTGACTGTATCCTGCATTTCTCATAGTAAATAGCATACAAGAAAACTGGTAATTTAAAGATATTCAGAGGATATATAAATGTAACTGGATGGAAAATAAACTCTTCCTTGACAATCTCTACATAAAACTTCTGTTACCACAGGCTGGAATTAAGTTTCTAAATGCTTTTATTTGATTAAACTGATAATTTCTGGTTCTCACTTCTTCCCTGCCCTGAACTCTGAAAAGAGTTAAATTTGAATCTTTACTTTGATTTACTTTTAGACACCAAAATAATGGTGTGATTGCCACTCCAAGAACTACTCTGTGCCTGGGAAGAGCACCAAACAGATCCTCCTAGAAGCTATGCTGAGGCACATGGAGGTCAGTCAGGTGATTTGAGACAGCCAGCACAGCTTCACAATGGGCAAGTTCTGCCTGGCCAACCCAGTGGCCTTCTATGATGGAGTGACTACAGCAGTGGACAAGGCAAGGGCAATGAATGTCATCTATCTGGACTTCTGTAAAGTCTTTGACACAACTCCCCACAACCACCTTCTCTACAAACTGGAGATAATTGATGGGTTGGCTGTTTGATGGATTAGGAATCTGTTGGATGGTTGCATCCAGAGGGTAGTGGTCAACGGTTCAGGGTCCCAGTGGACATCAATAACAAGCACTGTCCTTCAGGTATCTGTATTGGGATCAGTACTATTCGATGTCTTAATCAGTAACACAGGTGAAAGGATCAAGTGTACCCTCAAACTTGCAGGTGACAGCAAGCTGAGTGGTGTGGTTGACACACCTGAAGGTCACGATGCTATCCAGAGAGACCTGGACAAGCTCAAGAAGTGGGCCCATGGGAACCTCATGAGATCTAAGACAACGAAGTGCAAGGAGCTGCATCTGAGCCAGGGAAACCCCTAGTAGTAATCCAGGCTAGAGGATAAGAGATGGAGACCAGTCCCATCAAGACAGACTTGGAGTTTTGGTGGATGAGAGGCTGGACATGAGCTGGCAGTGTGCACTTGCAGCCCAGAAAGTCTACTGTATCCTGGGCTGCATCAAAAGATATATGGCCAGGAAGTTGAGGGAGGTGACTATGTCCCTCTACTCTATTCTAGTGAGATTCCACCTGGAATATTGCATCCAGCTCTGGGATCCTCAGGACAGGAAGAATAAAAGCCTGTTGGAGCAAGTCCAGAGGAGGGCCACATAGATGATTAGAGGGATGAAGCAGTTTGTCCAGAGAATTTGTGGATGTCCCATCCCTGAAAGTGTTCGAGACCAGGCTGGATGCAGCTCTAAGTAAACAGGTCTAGTGGAAGGTTCCCTGTCCATGGCAGGGGGGGTGGAACTAGATGATGATTGAGGTCCTTTCCAACCCAAACCATTCCATGACTCTATGATTCTATGAAGTGTTAGCCAAAAAGATAACACTTTGGAAGAACTTTCTTCCATCCATGGAAATAATTCCAGCTTAAATAGCTTTTAACATTAGCACTGTTTGATTGAAGTGTCATGAAAAATCTAAAAATACCTCCTTAAACTTGCTTCAGACACTGTCCAGCCTATGAAAAAAAGGCCTCTCTACAGTGATTTCCTATTTGATTCACTGCTGCATACACTCCTGTGTTCACTTAGCTGGAGACAGACAATATCCTATAATACTGTGCCTAACTGTGTGCTCCTCTTCATGGCTTACGCTGCTGAAATTTCAGAGAGCATCTCTGCTAGTGCCTTCAGATTGCTGTACCAGTTTGTGTCATGCTAGATGCCACTGTTTTGAAATGCCTAATTAATGACTGCTACCAAGCAGGTGAGTGCTGAAGAATCACTGAAGCAGCTGCATTCAACGTGGGATGAGGCTCACTGCGATGTTAATGGAAAATGTGCACACAAGCTCAGCAAAGAGCAATTCCTAAGAAGTCATATGATCACACTTCTATAGGAAACAAGAGAAAGTAAAATTTAACCATACTTAGAATCACAGAATCATCAAGTCATCAAGGCTGGAGGAGACCTCTAAGATCATCAAGTCCAACCATTAACTGGCACTCCACTGTAACCCCTGAACACTAAATTATCTTCCAGCACCTGATCCAAATGCCTTACTTATGGTATGCTGTAAAGTCTTTCCAAAAAGAGGAGGTATTATACAAGCATAGGTAAGCAACAGTTCCTGAACCAAGAAAATCATGAAGTTATTCCCTAATGAACTTTGACTGAAAAACTAAGTGCAGACCTTCCTACAACCTTTCAGTACATGAAGAGAGCCTTAAAGAAAAATGGGAGAGAATTTTTATAAGGGCATGCAGTGGCAGGACAAGGAGGAATGGCTTCAAATTGAAAGAGTAGGTTTAGATTAGATATTAGCAAGAAATTCTTTACTGTGAGGGTGGTGACACAAACAGGTTGCCCAGAGAGGTTGTGGATGCCCCATCCCTGGAAGTGTTTAAGGTTAGGCTGGAGAGGGCTTTGAGCAAAGTGATCTAGTGGAAGGTGTCCCTGTCCACAGAAAGTAGGTTAGAGCTAGATGATCTCTAAGGTACCTTTGAACTCAAACCGTTCTATGATTCTACTGAATCTCACCCCAAATTAACCAACTGTATGACTGGGAGATGCAGCAGAAATAATCTGGATAAGTGTACTTGTACACAAGTAGCCGTCACAAAGCTGCCATCTCTGGCAGCCCTGCCATCTCAGTCAGTGACTGAATGGCAACAGCTGGCAAATACAGTGTGTTTTTAATGGCAGCCCAATATCCAAGACTAGGGCAGCCTATCCTGTTTGAGACCAATTATTCAGCACAACATCCAAGAGAAAATTAATTCTCTGGTAATAAATATTTCAACATCAAAGTAAGACTTACGAAGTTGTTTACTAAAAAAAAATCCACCAATCACTGAAATCCAACCTCAAACTGCTAGGAGTTACAAAATAGCCTTTTGTAAAATCACAATGGAACATCTGGACTTTTGGAGGTTCTGTCTTAACAATCCTGTTCAAAGCACCATACACAAGGAATGCATACCCAGACAGCAGATTAGGCCAGCTGTGTTCAGGGAGTGCATATCTCAATTTCCTAAAAACATGAGAGGGGGTAAACTGAGCTTCTTAAACTACAACTCAGACATTCTTGGGAACACATTTTTATGTTCTCCATACAAAAGTATTTTCCAAGAGGTTTTCTTCAGTACAACACAAAAAAAGGATGCATCTATTAAGAACATTTATTACAAAAGTATGATCTAGTTTTCCTGAAGAGCTACAACTGGAACAACATTTTTCTTCCCTTGTGACAAAATGCAAGGGGCAACCTGCTCCTGGCACTGATGAAACAAGTCCACTGAAAGGATGAAAAAGTAGATGATCCCAAATAAGTTAAATTACTTTTCAAAACACTAGTATGCCTGGTAGAGCAAGTAGTCACAAATGCTGTGCTGTCTATGATTGCTTCCCCCCCTTTTGTCTTTAATTCTCAAATTTGATATGTTTATTGCATAGACAGCAAACAATTCTGACTTACTTGGACATTTATTTCTGTGTTCAGGTGGGAAGAATTGTATCCTAAGCCAACATTCAAGTGAACAGCTGCAGTAGCCTGTGTGTACTGAAAATTATCACATTTCTCAGCTATCGAACCATCTGCTCTGAATAAAGTGATACTAATATACTTTACAAATAACGCATTTACTGACAGGTTGAATATGACTGTTCATAAAAGACAAAGAACTGTATATTTTTCACTCAGAAAAATAGTTTGAGATAAGTTCACAGTTTTCAAACAATTCTTAAAATAAACCGATAAATACATCTAAAAATAATCATAAATACACAGTATACAGGTTTTTAAAGTTACTGCAATTTAGTATTCAGACCATACCAAAACCATTTTAGTACAATACTACTGTTCAATTATCCTCTGGGTATTTTGAATTAGTACCAAAATCTAATTGACATTAGAAGAAAGGCAAGCCACTGCAGTGTAATTTCTACCCGAGATTACCGCGTTATTACATAAAAAGTTCTCTAGGCTCTCACGGAATAGGGGCACAATCTACAGCCTACGGTGAAACAGATAAGCAAGTTAGCATTCCAAATAGAAGATTAAAGACTTTGGTATGGCCTCAGCACTATTAACATGTAAAGAAGTAGCCTACAGAATTTAAGAAAAGACCCACAGACCCCAGTCCAAGGCTCTGCTGCCCACGAACCACTTCTAAGCAGAGAAGCCACATCACACAGTCTGACTGCCATGTTAGTTTGGAGTTGCCGTCTGCAATATGGACACAAAAAGTACCGTATGTTAGATTAGCAAGATAATGCAACAAATCAGTGTGTACAAATTTACAGTAATTGCATTTGTATTCCCAGCACGTCCATGCAGTGTGGCGTAATTGGATTTGAGGCAATTCCAATCTAATCTTTTCAAATGAAGTTCAAAAATTTTTTTTAACGCAAAATAAGATGCTTATTTTTAAGAAGATTTAAAAGATAATGCAGTCCAGTTACCCCTGTATATAGCCTGGAAACTATCTTCAGAACCAGAGCATGCCTAAAAGAAACTATACCACAAAACAAAACTTTAAATCTTCAAGACTGAAGAGGAGAGCAAGAAAACACAGTGAGTTGATTTTTCATCAGCACAAGATGACCATGCACCACAGAGACAGCTCTCCTTGCATGTCTTTCCCAGACCACAAATAAAAAATACACAAGATGACAAACTACTTTGTTGGAATCCAGTTTTTAAAATCCTAGATCTTCAATATTAAGTAAATTAAAATCTTGCACAGACATTATTCACTAAGCTCCCTTGCAGTACCTTTTAAATAACATGTACTACTGGACATACAAGCAGCAGTAGAGACAAGAATTTCTCAAATGGAATAACTGGTGCAAAATATGCATGACTTTCACAAGGCTACTTTTGTCCCCAAGAACACTGTTCTTTGTTTTAACTAAAACATAATGCAAATCCAGTGGGGTTTAAATTGAACAATGCTAGGAGGTTACAACAAAAGCTAATGGGCCATTTGCAGATAATAAGCAGTCCGGACATGAAATATAGCCACAATACTGGCAGAAATATGACAACTCCTGACTGTTGCCACAGTTTTAGACTAGTTTAAGAAGAGATTGATCCTTCTTTCCCCTTAGTTAGTAGATGAGGTATGTCTGAACTTGATAAAAAGACTTCAGGTTTCAAAAGGCTGATGCATCCAGGGCTTTATGAAAACAATCTTCAAAACTTTCACTGTTTTAAAGTGGTATAAATTACTTTTAATTTCAGTTTGCTACCAAAGCCCTTATGTTTAACTGACTTCATATCTAGTCTTCATTTCTAATTGAGGTTAATAATCTTTTTACACAAAACACTGAGGCTTTGGTATCAACTGCAAGCTTGCATGCCATTCTCTCTGGTCTCAACCCGGAACAACAGTAACACCTGCATTTTCAGCTCTCCATTGTTTACAGGCAAGACGTTCAATGAACTGCTGAACGAAGAAAATCGGAAAATCTCAACTGATATTTCAGTCCAGACTACCTTTAAGGAGACTGCATTAAAGTAGCAGTCTCCAAAACTCTGTACTATAGAGACCATAGTGATGTGCAGAATATGATACATTTGGATCTGCGTCCCTCAAAGCAGTGTGATCCCATAGATTATTTGCTTACTGCGAACCACAGACTGTAGACTGAAATCATCAACAGGATAGCTTACTTGTATGTACAGGACTTCAACATACTTGCTACGCAGACTTCACTGCTCTCTCGAACTGCAGCACTTCTCAAAAAAAACCAAGAACACCTCTCATTTGAAGTACTTCCAGTTTGCATACCATGTCTATCTTCACAGAAGCACCTACTTGCACCAATGTGCAAGTCACTTCTCTAACTACCACACCATTATGTCTCACTGTATTTTGTTCTACCATTTCCTTTACCATTTCTATTACTTTCAAAGCTGTACAGACTACTTTTACATATAGTTAGAAAAACCAGAGTTCTTGACATTTCATTTACACTTCTAACCCGAAAAAACCAATAAGATACAGCTAACTACATCTTAAAGTAAATTAGGTTTTTGAAAATCAGTTTCCAGCCTATACACCGTATTAAAACAGCACGTTAACATAAAATTTGAGCTATGAGAAGTCTCCAAAATTATAAAATACTGAACCACTCAAGAATCCCTAGCACCATTAGCAAAGTCAATACAGTTTTTTACTATTAGCCTCAGAGATAGCATTACACTTCAAGTTATTAAAATAGCTCAGCAGTTGCTGCATTTAAAACCTAAGAAAGCATTAAGTTGAGCAAACAGGGTTCTATGTCTACTAAAGAAATGATAGTTTGTCTTAAAATACATTTGGAATAAGCAGAGAATTGCTGAACAAGTACATCTCTTTCTCTACAATGCGGCAAGGAAACAGAGCTAAAGACAAAGTTACTCAGTTCAGCAAACTAAGCAGTCCCCTTTGTTAACCTACAGCGCATAGGAGCCACCTATCTTCTAATAAACTTACTTTTAATTCACCAAGCATAGTTAAGATTTTAAATCCAAACACTTTTTAACACTGTGTGGCATTAACTGAATTGCACTTTCTAATCAGCTACAGTTCAAGCAAATCATGAGCAAGGTTTGCCCATCAGAAAAGCAAGCAAGCTTTCTTGTTTTTCAAGAGCAAAGAGCAGGAATTAAAAAGCCATATGGTTTACTCTATTTCTGGCTGCCATAGAACAGTTACAATTATAACGGTAGATTTTTATATGAGAGCTCTCGAAAATAAAGCAGAGCTAACAAGATGAAACCCAGCAAAAGAATAATCACAGTGGGCTACTAATTTTTCCCCGCAAGACACGTATTTTGGGGTCTAACATACTGACTACTCATGCTCAGTTGAAAATGGAAGCTAAGGCTGAATCCTGGCAGTGTAGAGACAGAATCAAGGAGAGCTGACAAAACAGAAGAGGCTTCAACCAGTGTTAGCACCTCACATGCACACAAATGCTAAGGAGAAACCTTTAGTGCATCACATTTCTGGACAAAGTCATTCTACCACCTGTTTTGATTCATACATGTGCATCCCTGTCATTGAGGAGGAAAATTATTTCACATAGGTATTATATACAGAATTTACTTGTTTTTATATATACCACATCAAAAATCACTGCACAGATGCCTGCCCTGATTAAGCTATATACTTATAAGTGGTATTATTACATAAGGGGGATTACTGTGAATTTAAGTGGTCAGACAGATATTAGACATAGACTCTTCCCGTACATTATCACTGTTCAGAGGCAGCCCAAGCTGTACCATGAGATGCCACCAGCATCAAGGGTCACAGCTGATAAAATGGTCTTGTTAAAGTCCTAAGAAATGCTAAACATGCTCCTGAAGATTGGCATGAAGTGTTACACACCAGGGGACCTTCAGTACACGCTTTAGAATTCAGTATTTGCCCTTTTTCTCCTGTTTTCCACTGCAATGGAAGTATGCAACAATTATCACGTTTCCATTTGGATAAGCAAGCATTAGATTTTGTTTTCCTATACCAAATTGCAGAACAAATAGAACCCCATGGCTGAGTACAATGTTACCTCTTCCAGATATGAAGGTCTAAAACAGTCTCTGCTTACAAGAGTTATTCTCTTTTCAAAGGATTTATACCAACTACTTTGACTCATAACAGTAATAAAGGCAATTTAGCAAGGGTAAATTGTTTGTTGTCTGTGAGGAGTGTTGCCAAACACCTTAAAAGTCACCATTATTTGAGGGCTCAGTGAAAAGTGATAGACCTGACATAATACAGATGCTAAATTTTGCTTTAAAAAACAGAACAAAAAAAAACAATTTAAGTATCAGAATTTTTAGCACAGAGTTATTGGTACTTTGAATAGGTGCAATTCTTAATGTTTCCTCTTCACTGATTTTTTCTTCACTGGATAGTTAATCTGAAGGGCTTACTTCTTTTCTTCAAATAGTCAAGTATCTTAATAAGCCTGCATGAAAGCACAGTATTTATTCATACATACTCAAAGCTGCACAGTAAGAGGTAACAAAGGCTGGTCAATCCAGCATATGTGAGAACTATTACTGAGGCAGCTAGAATATCCCAGACTTCTTCATGGATAAAGGCACATACAGGCCAGAGGGCATCTCTTCAGTCAACAACCTTCACTATCAGAACAAACCACTACTTACTCAGTTTTCTTGTAGGAAGGACAGCTGACAAGGAAAGCTTGATAGTTACTCTAATGTCCACACATTAACAGCACATCTCATGCTTGGTGAGTCTGCACAAACAGGCTAAACAATGTTTATTTACTTGCCCATATTTTCTCTGGATTTTTTTTAATAGCATAAACCAACATTTTTCCATTAGCAACCCTTCCCACTTCCAAGTCCATTCATTTTTGTTCCCTTTACTACACTAGGAATCTGCAGCAGAAACTAGATTAGTGTACTGCTCAATGACAAAACTCATGCAGCTCAAGAGAAGCAGCTAGAAGAGTCTCTCTTGATTTATGTCAAGCTGTATGTTAGAAATTAGACAAAATGCAGATCAAAGACCAAAAAAACTCACAGAAAGCTTAGAATTCTGCTGATAAGGTGGTCTCAAAATTTCCAAATAACTTAGGAAGTTACTAACGTAAACAAAGGCAACTAAGACCAGAAAGCAGGAGTCCTATGCAACAATAAAAAGGTAAAAAACATGGTAGGTTAGAAGGGGAAACGTTTCACACTAACACTTAAATCACTACACAAGTAATACCACTTAACGCTTCTATACCTTGGCTCCAAAGTCATAGTGAGTTAAGAAAGAGTGAAGAAATGAAGACAAATATAAAAAAAAATCATATGGGATATAGCTAAAATGACTGCAATTCACCCTTGAGGAACTGGAGATTAGTGCAGCACAAATTAATCTGCAGTTCTCAGCAAGGATGAAGAGGCAGCAAGGAAGACTAACCCATTCCAGGTAGGCAATGAGAAGACAAGTAGACAACTGCAGACAGCTGAACAAGAAACAGCCATTAGTACAGACATGAAGAAACTTAATAGTTCTGGTGAGTGCATTAGAAGGAAAACAGTGCAAGTTATCTACTGAATGACAGGCAACACCAAAAATGTATACACAGATTAAAAGTCTCTACTCAGTATGAAATGCTTTTGGAAACTTAACATTCCTGCAAAACACTTAAGAACCACAGAATGCTCTAAATACTGCCCCACTAAATCTACTATGTATTAGGAATAA